CAAAAGAGATTGCCCAAATCCAAGGAAGGGCAAAGGTGAAACCAGTGGCCAGAAGAATGACGAACAGAGAAAGTTTTGACCAACAAGGAGGTGTCCTACTCGCATCTGAAGGTGTTCGGTTGCAGAGCTTTTGCATATGTANAGCTCTTTTACTCAATGAGAAGATGAGAAAGAAGCCTGGAAATCAAGGACATGCTCTCGTCACAGAAGGTAGAGGCAGGAGTTATCAAAGGAGTTCGAACAACTATGGTAGATCCGGAGCTCGTGGGAAGCCAAAGAACCGATCCAAATCAAGAGCCAGAAATTGCTACAACTGTGATCAACCAGGTCACTTCAAAAGAGATTGCCCAAATCCAAGGAAGGGCAAAGGTGAAACCAGTGGCCAGAAGAATGACGAACAGAGAAAGTTTTGACCAACAAGGAGGTGTCCTACTCGCATCTGAAGGTGTTCGGTTGCAGAGCTTTTGCATATGTACCAAAAGAGCAGAGAACAAAGCTGGATGATAAATCTGTTCCCTGCATATTTATCGGATATGGAGATGAAGAGTTCGGGTACAGATTGTGGGATCCTGTAAAGAAGAAGGTCATCAGAAGCAGAGATGTAGTCTTCCGAGAAAGTGAAGTTGGAACTGCTGCTGATATGTTAGAAAAGGCGAAGAATGGTATAATTCCTAACCTTTTTACTATTCCTTCTACTTCTAACAATCTCACAAGTGCAGAAAGTACGACCGACGAGGTTGCCGAGCAGGGGGAGCAACCTGGTGAGGTTATTGATCAGGGAGAGCAACTTGATGAAGGTGTCGAGAAAGTGGAGCACCCCACTTAGGGAGAAGAACAACCTCAACCTCTAAGGAGATCAGAGAGGCCAAGGGTAGAGTCATGCAGGTACCCTTCGACAGAGTATGTCCTCATCAGTGATGAGGGGGAACCAGAAAGTCTTAAGGATGTGCTGTCCCATCCAGAAAAGAACCAGTGGATGAAAGGTATGCAAGAAGAGATGGAATCTCTACAGAAAAATGGCACTTACAAGCTGGTTGAACTTCCAAAGGGTAAAAGACCACTCAAATGCAAATGGGATTTTAAACTCAAGAAAGATGGAAATGGCAAGCTGGTCAGATACAAAGCTCGATTGGCGGTTAAAGGCTTCGAACAGAAGAAAGGTATTGATTTTGACAAAATTTTCTCACCTATTGTCAAAATGACTTCTATTCGAACAATTTTGAGCTCAGCATCTAGCCTAGATCTTGAAGTGGAGCAGTTGGATGTGAAAACTGTATTTCTTTATGAAGATTTGGAAGAGGAGATTTATATGGAGCAGCCAGAAGGATTTGAAGTAGCTGTAAAGAAACACATGGTGTGCAAATTGAATAAGAGTCTTTATTGATTGAAGCAGACACCAAGACAGTGGTACATGAAGTTTGACTCATTCATGAAAAATCAAACATACCTAAAGACCTATTCTGATCCATGTGTATACTTCAAAAATTTTTCTGAGAATAACTTTATTATATTGTTGTTGTATGTGGATGACATGTTAATTGTAGGAAAAGACAAGGGGTTGATAGCAAAGTTGAAAGGAGATCTGTCCAAGTCATTTGATATGAAGGACTTGGGCCCAGCACAACAAATTCTAGGGATGAAGATAGTTCGAGAGAGAACAAGTAGAAAGTTGTGGCTATCTCAGGAGAAGTACATTGAACGTGTACTAGAACGCTTCAATATGAAAAATGCAAAGCCAGTCAACACACCTTTTGCTAGTTATCTAAAGTTGAGCAAAAAGATGTTCCTACAACAGTGGAAGAGAAAGGGAACATGGCTAGAGTTCCTTATTCTTCAGCAGTCGGAAGCTTGATGTATGCAATGGTATGTACTAGACCTGATATTGCTCACGCAGTTGGTGTTGTCAGCAGGTTTCTTGAAAATCGTGGAAAGGAATATTGGGAAGCAGTCAAGTGGATACTCAGGTACCTGAGAGGTACCACGAGAGATTGTTTGTGCTTTGGAGGATCTGATCCAATCTTTAAGGGCTATATAGATGCTGATATGGCAGGTGACATTGACAACAGAAAATCCACTACTGGATATTTGTTTACATTTTCAGGGGGAGCTATATCATGGCAGTCTAAGTTGCAGAAGTGTGTTGCACTTTCAACAACTGGAGCAGAGTACATTGCCGCTACAGAAACTAGCAAGGAGGTGGTATGACTCAAACGGTTCCTTTAAGAGCTTGGATTGCACCAGAAGGAGTATGTCGTCTATTGTGACAGTCAAAGTGCAATAGACCTTAGCAAGAACTCTATGTACCATGCAAGGACCAAACACATTGATGTGAGATATCATTGGATTCGAGAAATGGTAGATGATGAATCTCTAAAAGTCTTGAAGATTTCTACAAGTGAGAATCCCGCAGATATGCTGACCAAGGTGGTACCAAGGAACAAGTTCGAGCTATGCAAAGAACTTGTCGGCATGCACTCAAACTAGAAGACAGTGCTACATCCTCTAGATGAATGAGACTGGAGGGGGAGATTGATGATGTCCATCTCATTGAAGAAGTATTAGGCATGTGCCTAATAAAAGTTTCTTTGGTTTGGTAACCAACCTTGTTGACTTGGTTTGGTTAGGTAGCCAACCTTGTTGAATTAGTTTGGTTTGGTAGCCAACCTTGTTGAATTTCTTTGGTTTGGTAGCCAACTTTGTTGAATTGTGAAAAGTGTGTAAATTGTCAAATATTGTAAGCTTTAGAGAGTGGAGCTTTTGCTATAAAAGGAGAGCTTCAACTCTCATTTCTTCACACCAACAAAGAGAGAAAGAAAGAGTGAGGTTTCACAGACAGGGTATAAGAAAATAGTCTGTAAGAAAAATAGGGAGTGAGCGATATTGTAGTGAGGTGAAAATATCAAAAGAGGGTTATTTCTTTTGAGTATTGTAGTAGTCTTTGTAGTATTTTACTCGGACCTACAAAGTGTAAAATTCCTTACTATAGTGATATCAGTTGCTCCTCTCGGGGCTGTGATTTTTTCACTTATTAAAAGGGTTTTCCATGTAAAAATCTTGGTGTCGTTGTTACTCTTTTATTCTTGTTAATTACCGTCTCTCAGTGCTACATTATTATTCGGCTTTTATTACCGTGAATATTATTTCTGTGGGGGTTTATTCCCAACAGTTTCTCATAGTCATGGATCAGTCCTCGGTCCTCTTTGTTTTTTTCCTCCTTTTTTTTTTTTTAAAGTTTTTATCTCCGTAGTAAAATTTTATTACTAGTACTATCTTTCCTTTTGTAATATCAATGGTGTCTGGATTTATATATTACTTTTGGCAAAACGTAATTTTGTAATATTTGATATAATTCTACCATAATTTAGGTTAATTTGGATTTGCTTTTATGTTAAAAACTCGTCTACATTACTATTTGAAGACGGAGGGGCACCACTATCTTCAATATAAACAGAGGTGAGGACTTCATCGGTAGTTATTGGGTCTCGCCGAATACCGGAGAACTTCCGGTGATGACTGACCGGTGGCGTGAATGAGGGAATCTAACTAATCAAAAGAAAAAGTGGGTTGGGGTGTTGTGTATGTTTGGCGGGGGGAGGAACCAAAAGTAAAAGAGCAAACTATAAATATATAAAAAAATCTGGGCTGCAGTTAGTTCGTTATGATAAAAATGGAAAAACATTAAGGAGAGACGGTCAACATTCGAACTAGGAACATCCCATACAAGAGCTAAGCTAAGCAATAGATTCAACCCCTACTTCCAATCAACTCTTGTGCATCAAGATGCCTAATTAAATATAAACTCACTTTTCAAGGTATATATAGTAGTAATTTTCCCAAGGTTTGCGGATCTGTTACCCCTATCAGAAAAATTCCTTATATGGCTTTATAGAGTTTTATAAGTACAAAAGCATCGTCTTTTTATATATAACGGGGTAAGAGTGTCACTTTGATTGGAACTTTTAGAAAGAATATGAACACAACTTGTAACTTGTAGACCCCCAAAAGAGGAAAAAGTTCAAAAGACAAAATAAATGAAATACAATAGGGAGCAACATTGATAAACTCATAACACATAAATAATTCAGAGCTTGCAGATACCTTAGGTGAAATCTACAATTTTTATGCCCTTAAAACTATACAAACGTGACCCGCAAAAACCAAAAAAACATGGGATAGATCGGGCAACACATGCATAATTAACTAGGTGCTAAAATGTTTATACAATATATATATTACATATAAATAGGCAAACTTATTTCTTTTAATTCACTATGATTCTACTAGGAAGGAGAACTCCTGGTATATGCACTTCTTGGAAACTACTCTCGCAAGTCACAAGTTTCACTACAGAACGTGCACTTAGACTATACCTTTCTTGAGCTTCCACGAATCCCTTGCTAAGAACATGTTGAATCCAATCTTCTACTTTCTTACTGTCTGTTAAACATGTTGCTGCTAGAATCTGTTCCAATACTTTGGTGTCGATCTCTAGCAAACATTCTGGACCGACAATTTTGTGGAAGCATAGTCTGATCTCTTTCAACAGCTTTTCAGCCAGAGAGTCGAAATCAAATGGCCTGAAAATCGCAGTCTCATCAAATTGTGCAAATAATTCTTTCAACCATGAGTCACATCCAGAATCTCCATTAAATGTGTCATAATTTTCACTCTCTTCAGCTGGAAGATTCAAATCTAGGCATGTGTTTGATTCCTTGTGTGCTCGTTTGGCCATCTCCGAGCTTCCACATTGCTGATGTACGCTTTCGCTTGAACCAGTAAGCTTTCTTTTATTCACAATGATACGGCTAGATGATCTTTTTCTACTGGTTACTAATGTACTTGAGTTAGGACTTTCGACATCATCTGCAAGATCAAATGCTATTAGCATCTGGATTTGCCATCCTTTAGCTGCCAATATATCTTCTTCAGAATAGTCATGAACTGTTTCTTCGGTAGAATGAAGAGTTGTTTCTTCATCTAATCTTGATGATGTTGTCACAAAGATTGCGTTAGCTATGCTAACTTCTCTACCATGAGAATCAGAAAATCTACCAGTCTTAACAGCCTGGGACAAGCTTTTCTGAACGAGTAGGTCAGCTTTATCCACATTTTCTAGGAAAACAACAGATAAGGGGTTGTTCCTCAATTTATCAGCAACATAATCAACAACATGCTTCCCTCTGAATTTCACATCATATCTATTCAATACCTGTAAATCAAACAACCCGACTTCGTCCTGGAGACTTAGATCCACACAGATTAGGTTGTTTGTGCTTCCATATAGAATCTCCGCCAATGCAATCATAACTTTCTTCTTACCAATCTTATCAGGTCCGAGGAAATTGAGCCATATGTCCCCACGACGTGTGCAATTGCTTCTTTCATTTCTGCTTCTGCACTGAGCTATTGTTTGGCTAATAGCATTTACAGCCTCCTCTTGCCAGGCGACCTTTTCCATAAGAGCTGCGTATAGCATCTTGAAATCTTTTGGATCCAATTGCTTGTGGTGACACTGAAGAGAATTAGAAGATGGCGATAGTGGGGACCGGTTAAAGAAACTTCCCGAGACCACCTCAGCACTTGCAGATACATTGGATGATATATGATGTGCTTGATTGATGCTACTCGGAATTGTCAGCTGCTCTTGTTCTTTGCCTGGAGAAGTAGAGGCCACGCACAAACCTAAATCTGTTGTCACTGAAGTTACAGAGGCTGGAGAGTTGAGGCCACGCTCATCGACACTTTTTGAGGGCGTTTCACTAAACTTAGATAGAAAATTGTCATTGCCAGCCTCTGATATCATACCTAAAGGACTGCTTTCATTTGATGAAGAGACTGTGGAATTCATTATCTTCCTTTCAGTTTCTGCTGAAGATGCATTTTTGTGGCCGCTTTTGTCGTCGTTGACACCTTCGTTTTGGTCTTGATCAACAACTTGAAAACCTACAACTGATGGAACTTGACAACCCAACTCAAAACTGCTAGCCTTGGATAATGGTTGATTGTAGTGTAAACGCTGGCAGAGATTGTCCCATTTTCTCTGCAAACCAGCAATTTTAGCACCCAATACCATTTTATCATCTTTGGCCTGCACTGAAGTCATATAACGAAGTTATTACATGATTAGACCGAAAAGATGTTAAGATTTATTTTACTGTAAGCTCGGTTTGGTATATGATCAAAGTTATTTTTCAAAGAAAATATTTCTCATAAGAAAGTCATTTTTCCATGTTTTGATATCCCATTAAGATTACAAGTATTTTACTTTTAGCTTCACATTACTTGCTTTAAATGACATTTAAATATTAATATTAATCTCTTTAACTCAAAGTTTCATCAAAACAAACTCCGAGTTGCTAAATTATTATTAAATTTGAATATGCATTTTTTGCAGGACATAAAAACATTTTTAGCTGTACCAAAAAAAAAAGGAAAATAATTTTAGCGTAAAATGACTTCTGTCATACCAAACACACTTGTAGTCAAGTAATTTAGAAAATTTGTAAGCACACAAGGAAGAATATATAACTCCAGAGGAGTTAAGGTGTCGAAGAAGAAAACTGCAGAACCTAAACAAAAGGAAATAAGTGGGTTCATATAAGAGATCTTTACACAAAAAGCATGCCGGGTTTAAAGTTTATTTTTCCTAGCCAGTTTACATATATATACTTATAATATATATGGATTGTACATCGACTGGCTACTTTTTGATGATGTCTATCTCATTGAAGAAGTATTAGGCATGTGCCTAATAAAAGTTTCTTTGGTTTGGTAGCCAACCTTGTTGACTTGATTTGGTTAGGTAGCCAACCTTGTTGAATTGTGAAAAGTGTGTGTAAATTGTCAAATATTGTAGGCTTTAGAGAGTGAAGGTTTGGCTATAAAAGGAGAGCTTCAACTCTCATTTCTTACACACCAACAAAGAGAGAAAGAAAGAGTGAGGTTTCACAGACAGGGTATATGAAAATAGTCTGTGAGGAAAATAGAGAGTGAGCGATATTGTAGTGAGGTGGGAATATCAAAAGAGGGTTATTTCTTTTGAGTGTTGTAGTGGTCTTTGGAGTATTCCACTCGGACCTACAAAGTGTAAAATTCCTTACTATAGTGATATCAGTTGCTCCTCTCGGGGCCG